GCCCCATAAATGTGAGATGGGAAAGGTTCACATTCACCTCAAGTGGTTTTCTATGTCTTTATTACACATGCATGCACGCAAACAAGTACATATGAATATGCAGAAAATTACATACAGATAACTGCTATAGAGAGAGACTGCATGTATATAAAATGTTTAGAAGTATTTGTCTCTCACACCCATCCTTAGTTTGTGTGAGTGCCAGAAACTAGGCATGACGATCCGGACTGGAAGAAATATATTGCATTTATGGAAATCATTCATTATCCCTGTCTGGGAACCTCTTGAATATAAATAATATTTTCATTTATAAATTTCAAAGCACGGTCCTAAGAATGGGTAAGAATCATTATCTTCATTTGACAGTTGGAGAAACAAAGAGCAGACTGTTTTAAGCAGCAGTCTAAGGTCACATGGAGTAAATGAAGTCAAACCTCATCTCCCCAGCCTGACTTTCCCTTGAGAGAGCAGAGCAGATAGCACACCACTCAACTTTATCAGCTGAAACTCTTCGGCGTGTATGCTAATAGTATTGGCGGCCCTGAGCCTTTGCAGATCAGGGCTGAGGTTTCAAATGATCCGCAAATTTGCTTTAAATTCCTAAGATTAAAAAGCCTGAATAAATACACTTGTCTTTCTTTCGTTTGTTTGCTGTAATCTGAACCTTTGGGGTATGTCAAGGTGACGGCTTCCAGGTATTTCCACCACCAAAAGATCTAGACACCTTTCCTTTATAAAAAGGCTGGGAGAGGGGAACGCTAAACAAACAGCACGGAATGCTGTCAGTAAAATCAGGAGAGCTAGCAACCAGATGCAGAGATCATGCCTATTTCTGGCACGTGCTAAAGGCTTCTTAGAGATCCTTAGAAAATAATCTCCTTCCTCCACCCCAAAAAAGACCTTAAAAAACAACAAGCCCCACATTTTAGTTTTGGAGATGCAGCAGGACCCGTAATGACTCCAGGGACTGGTGAATATTTGTCACCAGCCTGGGTGGGGTCCTCGGGACCTTTTGCAAGGCACAAGAGCTTGGGGCATTGTTCAGTTTGCACTGTGAGCTGTGGGAACCAGGCAGCCAACGTGGCCAGAGCACCACTCAGGGCTGGGGATATGTCAGCCTTCTTTTGCAACCAGAACAGTTCTTCCCGCAGTGTCAGCCAGTTCCTCCCATCGGGGTGGTAATGTGGCACCACAGTGGCTGCAGCCACATGAAGCAGTGCACTTCAGCCTCAGTTCATCCATCCTCTTTGTATTAGCTCACGAAATGCTGATGGGTTAACACTGGTCTGTGAAGCTTTACATCAGGTAGCATTTATCTGCACCCTTCTTGCTTTGCACCAGCTGAAATCCACCGCTCTGAGGTGATGGCGTTTGGTGTAGAGCTTTTTTTTTGTTTTAAGACCTTGTTCAGATGTCTCCAAATTAGAGAATGTCTAGGGGCACTGATAGTTGTTTTCCTTTTAAGTCAGAGACAGTTTGCTTTTTTGGTTCCTCAGTTGTTTTATCTCTTATTATGTTGAACCATTTTGAAAGCTATATCTTGCATTTAAAAATCATATCCCATTATCTTGGAGGGAATTTGAAAAGGTCGGTGTTAAAAGAAAACACAAGTTAAAACAACCCCAACACTTGAGCCTTCAACACTAACTAACCCATGCGATTCTGAAGGTTAATTACACTTTAAGAAAATTCTCAGGCAATACATGTGGCACGCTACTGATAAAATGACATTGCTTATAATAAATTAAATTACAGTAGAATCTCATTGAGGCACTAATCATGAGCAAAGTCCTGAAAAAAAAATTAATGTTTAGTCAGGCTGGTATTCTTTGGAGTTAATAAACAAAGGAAATGGTGCATTCTGATGTATAGTCAATTACAGTTCAGATTTATTTGGTATTAATGCATTTGCACATATGTTGTAAAATGACAGTGGTGGGTGTGTGACAACATTGGAAATATCTGGATGGTCTCTAAGAGTGTGAGCAGCAGTGTGTTATTTAATACATTTTTCTTGGGGAGCACAGACATCTCAGTGGTGTCTCCTTGCTCGGCCATGTCTGTTAGCATTTTGGTGTTGGTACCGGCCTCGTACACACTGGGGAGAGTTACATACAGACATTCAAAAAATGGAAGTCAAATATGTTATCCAGGTTTCATTTCTTTCTCAAAGTCAGAAAATCACACGTTGGTACACATTTGCTGGTGTGTGAAAAATGAAGTGTAGGTTGTTACTGAATCTCATTTTTAGCAGGAAAGTCTTGAGTGTATGCCCTGTATATCACATTGGCATGTTATTTACTATGATAATAAATAAATCAATCTATTCTGAGAACCTGGTTCTTGCTTTTCAGCTAACTTGTTGACTAGGTCTGGTAAATGCAATTGTTCAGATTTCTTCATGCTGCAACCCTTGGAAATGTTACAAACCCTTTTACAAGAGGGTGGCACCCAACAGAATTCAAACTGCTGACACATAAATGGGCTTTAATGTCTGCAGAGTCTTCAGTCAGCTCCATTATATTCCTCTCAAACAAAACCACAAAATGCATTCAATAACATCACAGTTTCATTAGCTCAAACTCCACTGTTGTTAGCTGCAAGCAATATGGCCAGAAATCCTCGCGTTTAGAAGAAAACGCAGATCACATCTACTTGACTTTGCTTCCTCTGAGAATTCAGAAACCCAGACAAATAAAAATCCCTTGTTAGAAAGAAACAGAAGGAGATCTCGAAAAAATAAAGACTAGCTGGTCCTACAAACTTTGGTTCCGTTTGATAGCACTCAGCACATTGTTAAAGGCTGTGTGAAGACATATTTAAGAACAGAGGCAAATGCCATGGATATTCCCAGATAAATAATCACAACATGAACATGGTCCAGCAAAATTCTTAATATGAAGGAGAAGGTAACATGCAGTCATCACAACTTTAATTCTAACACTTAAAGATGAAGCACTAAAATGCCTTAAATCAGATGATGTCTGCTCCCATTTCAGTTGATCATTAAATTTTTTCCATGTGTTTGGGGTTGCAGCCCTGCCTGACTCCTTCTGGATAGCATCTGATGCATGAAAGCATCACAGAAGCAGATCTGTCCATGCCATGATTAAAACACACACACAGAAAGCTGCTTGGACTGCTGTGCAAAATAAAAATGCATTTTCTTCCTTTGCATTCCTTCAAAACACATCCCTCTTTTAACATCAGTCTTTCAAAGGGTGTTCTTGTTACTACAAAATGGAAGCAAATACAGATGGAAGTTTGAGCACATCTTTTAAGGGTTTCCAGGCAGCCTCTATCAGCCCATAGCAAAGGAGGGTCTGGTAAGCTGTCTTCTATCTTCTCCACCATTCTCATCTCTAGTTCTGTTTCTAAGGTCAGTAAAAACACAGAGAAGTGATAAAGCAGGAACTAGCTCTAAGGGATTATGCTATTTGTCAAAATAATAACAGTGAATTCAATATGTGTAAATCTCTTCTCCCTGTGCAGTAGATTTGTGCTCTGGTGCACACGTGGGATATTGATAGGAGTCATTTCCTAGGCACTTGCCTTTGGAAGGAGTTTGCGATTGATATAATAAGAATCCCAAATTTTCTAAGAACCCACAAATTACAGGGGACGGTCCCTCAGGTTCTTTCTGCTAACTGCTGAGTTACTTAGCATTTTTATCAGTGACATGAAAGTAAATATAAAATCAACTCTGGTGAAGTCGGCAGATGACATGGACAACAAAGATGAGAGGTCATTGGTGCAGGGTGATTTGTTAGTAAGAAAACAGCATGTGTTTTCCCACATCCTAATGTAAAGGTGTGAAGAAGTTACGACTGTAAGAGGTTGTTAAGGAATCGGGGACTGACCTTGAATGAAATGATAGAAATGAAAGCTTTGTGGTCAAAGCACATGTCCTGGTAAGTGCCAGTCCCTGAGGAGACACATTTGCCGAAAGAATAAGCCTTTAAGACAAGAGTGGGGGAACCAAAGGATCAAGAGGCTACACTATGGCACTGATTCATCCCGTAGAAGGCTTAAGCCCATCTGAGAATCCTAACAGCCTTGCAGCCTCATGACATGAAACCAGCCTCAATGCTGGGTATGACTCCATTTCTGGGGAACTGCCAGGGAGCAGAAAATCTGGGTTCATTTGACTATTGGTGGGGATCCAACCTTCATCTACTGGCAGGGGGGGGTGAATTGTATGGCTCAGCCGTTACTGGCTAGGCCGTGTGCCTCCTGGCATCTCTGATGGGACAGAGGGGCTGCCAGAATTTGGGCTATCCCAGTGAGGAACACCAGCCTTTCACAACACATGGATATGTAGATGCAGACATGGACCCTAACTTTAGCTTTAGCCAACCTGTCATCATGTAGATGAGGCACAGCCAAAATGGTGTCACTTTGTCCTGTTCTGGTATCTGTAGTCCAGGAAGATGTCAGTAATAGCAGGTTTGGAGAATTTGTCTTTTAAAGGTTGAAGCTCATCACGGATAAAGAGAGGGACTGGATTTGGTCAGTCTGTAAGTGCCACCACAAGGAACAAAGCTTCATACAGGGCTATGTGGTATAGAAGACAGAGGTGTAACACCACCCAGGAGCTGGAAAGTGAAAACAAACATGTTCAGACTAGACATTAGAAGTGCTGATGCTTGACTACTGGAAGAACCTCCCAAAAACCTTTCTGTGTTTCTTTGCCCTCGCTGTTTTAAAATCTACATTAGTTGCCTTCTAGAATAGAATTGGATTTGAAAAACCCAGCAGAACTTCTAGTCTATGGGGCCTTCTAGTCTATGACTATAGGAAGACCACTTCCTTTCTTTTCCCCCAGGGTGGAAGCACCCCCACAACAGCATAGAGTTGTTGTTTTTTTGTTGTTGACTTTCTTTTCAAACAGGATATTTCAGAGTACAGTCATAGGCTATGCTAGATGAAATGCCAAAGGAATAAACTTCCTGTGTGATATGACATTGCCGGGGATGATAAGGACTTAAGGCAGGCTGGAATGGAGAAACCAAGCCAGTCTTCCTCTCATACAGACCAGGAATAAATCCAGAATTTGCCACTTAAACCAAGTTTTGTCTTTTACAAATCTTGCTTGGAAGAGAGACAGAGAGACATGATGTGACTATCTTATGGCCCCTCCAGAATGGGAAGTGCCATTTGGGAGTGGGGATCCTACAGAAGCTCACCTAAAAACATCAGAAGAAGAAGGAAGCGTTCTGAGAAATTTGGTTGTCGCTATCTAAGACTATAAATAGGCTTTTAGGAAGCCTGAAAGCTCCTATAGTTTTACTTGTTATTTTAAAATGTTAATGTCATTTTAGAGCTCATGAAAGACATGAGATTGCTGGTAAAGACCTGTCTAGCCACATATAGGATCAGCAAGAAATTCAGGTTCTTCCATCCCATTCAACCTTGCCATAGAAGAAAGACCAGCTCATGGTAAGTTTTGGTCTTTATTAACAGTTCAGCCTCCAGGCTCCCTGATGGCCTATGTTTAGTCTGAGGCCTGCTTTGTGATGCTGATATGTGTTACCTGGAAACTTGCCTGTTAGCAGCCATTTATTTCTTTCTTCTTATTTTACACCATGTTGTTTAGAAAAAAAGTTGCAGTGCCACAAGAGGAACAGAGGTTGAATTTGCAGAATCTCCTGCTATGCCTCTAGTTAGTATGCCTTAATAGAATAGCTCAAAAAGGATACTTCAGCAAAACATGGATCTTTAACAGTGTCTCTATACACTGGACAGCGAGATCATCACTTCAGGCTGCCAGTTTTTAACAAATTCCACTTGTGTCTTCTTGACTCCTTGTGGCTTCACCCACCATTCAATGCCCCTTCCAAGAACCATGCACTGAGACCCCAGCTGGCTATGGTCTGGTTATTTTCAGGTTTTACTTTTTACTGTAAAATTTGTTCCTATTAATTCCAGAAAAAAATATTTTGTAAAAGTAAGGGCTTTTGAATTATTTTTTTTCTTCAGCTTTTATAATCAGAAAGCAACATAAATTGTTTTCTGGGTTGGATGAGTCAGATTGAGCTGATAATCATTAACACTGCATCAGAACACTGCTTTAAAAAATAAAATACTTCTTGTAAACATCTGATTAAAAAAAAAAAAAAGAAAAACACAGGTTAGCAGCTGACAGAAATTATTAGCAATAAGCTCTTTCGCATAGAAATAGGCTTATTACCATGCAGTTGCAGCTGCTGGCATGAGCCTGGCTTGATGCCAGCTAACTGTGTCCTGCAAAAACCATCTTTCCACCTAACTCCAGGAAAAACACCAGCAAGACAGGGTTGCATTCGCTTCTCAGTCTCTGCATTATATACTCTCATTGATGCTGGCAGGAGTCCTGTGCATGTGTGTAAATGTTTCTAAATGTGAAAAAAAAAAATGTCAATTTTGCCTTTTCAGCTGGTAGACCTGTGGGAAAGGATTGAGGGCTGCTTTTAAAAGATAGGGGCAGAAGGGTAGGGGGATGTGTTTTATTATGTCTTTGAAAGCTAGTAGAGGACACTGGGGAAGGAAAGAATAAATTAAGTGCGATACATAGAGATCTTAGTGTAAATCAGATTTGCTAGACTTTGGGGGGGTAGGGTGGGGAGAGAGTGTTGTTAGTTTGTTGTTGTTGTCTTTTAGTCAGCAGAAGCTTATCCTCTGCATGATGCATGGCACCCTTCAGGTTCTGAGCCCACACTCAGATGTTGAAGCACACTTGTGGTTTGCTGAGATCTGGTGTTGTTTGCTTACTTTTTTTGGCCAAGGACTTTTCCATGTGATTACACTGTAGAAAGTATGCCATAGATTACATAGACCTCAATCAGGTTACAAGGAGAGAACGCAAGTCTGCATTTAGGAAACCATCTTCAATCCCAATAGGAATAACTTCAAACATTTGACCTTCAAATGTTTTTGTTATTGACTTGGTTAAATGTAGGATCAAATGCTGCAAATGTCAAGGCTGTTCACTTTGCTGGGAGACAAAAATAGTCATAATTAAAATAAAAACTGAAGCAAAAGAACCCAAAACGTTCATTACTTTGCAGGATCAGGCTTGAGGTGTGGAAAGCACAATGGTAGCAACCTTCCGCTTTAACAGTGATTTTTGCATTTATTCTAAAAGGCCAAATTATGTAAGATTTTGTCAACTGTAGTTAAATGAGAGTGAAAAATACTGGCTGTAAAGGAGGTGAGTGAAATGGCTTTATGGGGAGCACAAAAATCGCTGCTGAAGTCATGATCACCCTCATGGCTGAAAACAATGACCTTTGCCGAAAAAACTCAAAGGTCCGGAGCACAGTGCTCATGCCTAGTCCAATTTCAAGTCAATCGAAGGAAGCAAAATACAAAGGGAAAGGTCATACTGACTTAGTGTAACAGTCTTAATGAATCTGGCTCTCTCTTTTGCATTTCTAGTTGAAACATAAACTCAGTGGCTCGTTCCCTTCCTCTGTGTGCTGTTTCAAAACACATGGGTAGAGGGAATAAGCTTTTGCTCAGCTTGATCCCTGAATAGCACTGTGTTTAAACAGAGCCTGAAAAGCAGTCTTTTTATTTTTAGCAGCAGTATTTTCTAAAAGGAGCTGTTGTTGACAAGAAAAGCCACTCATATTTGAATACGAAACACTTACAGCACTTTAAGTGCGAGGGGAAAGGTAAGCAATTCTATCCAAAGCATTTGGGAGTCACAATCAATAAGGAAGGGACTGTGAAGGATTTCTGGACAGGAAATATTTATTTATTTCTCCAAAACAATTGCCCTGTGCAGACCTGGAGTATTTATTTGCATGGCTACAGCTTATAGGTGCAGCAGTCGTGGACCAGCACCCAGCTGTATAAAGCAGTGCACAAATGCAGATCAGAAAGGCTCAAATCTAAGAATCTAATAATCACAGATGTATGCAGACGGGTAGCTGGAGGAATGCAAGAAAACAAAGTGGGATTATAATGTTTGAGTTCTTATTGCAAAACAAAACAAAAGTACTGAAAGGTAAAAGGATAACATTTATTTGTATACTTTTAAAGCTGCTGCTCCCTCCTCCAACTCCAGTCCTGCCATGATGTCCCAACGAAATAAATTAACCTCTTAATAAGACCTGAGCAGCAGCAGCAGCCAAGGGTAGAAGTCTAGGTAGACAAATGCTTAAAGTTTACTAAGTACTTAAAAACCACGACAAGCAGGCCTTAAAATGGGAAGTGTCAGACAAGCCTTTAATAACAGGTAACACTACCAGCCCCACCTATAATTGCTGTATTCCTCTCTCCACCCTCTGAATGTCACTTCATTTCCATCAATTGCAGCTTTTCTCCGGGCACAGATGGTGCCTTAGCAATGTCTGCACACTGGTTCACAAAAAAATGGGGTGACTTTTCTGTCTGAAGCTCTCAGGAGTTGCTATGAGATCAGTATGAAATGACAAGAGCACAAATAATAGCAACAGTAAGGAAAAAGGAGGTCCACTTTGCCCACATCTTGCTGTGCTGATGCTATCATATCCACAGTATGGTTTAAGGGAAGCTTGAAAGCCTGCACGCAGAGGGAATAACGTACTGAAAGGAATACATTTACTGTGCATCACATAGTCCCCATTAGGAGATTGTTATGATCATATTATTATGTGCTTTGTCTTCAAACAGAGGCTTTGCTGGCTTTTTCACCCATAAGCAAGAAAAAATACTCGGCATATCAGTCTCTTAGTTCAGATTTTCTCTCTGATGTGCAGCTGCTTCATTTTGGTTCTCCGTTCCAACAAGATGGATTAGTGTCACCTTTTCTGTAACAGTTTCCTTATGCTCCTGGAACTGGACGACAGTCAAGAATATTACTACGAATCTGAGAGAGGTGTGTGTTTTAGATGAGTAGAGATGGTTGCATTTTTGTGTTTTGACGTTATTTTACACCAAGTGGACTAAAGGGTTTTTTAAAATTATATCGGTGCTTAATAACCAGACAAATATATTCTTTTTCAGACGGCTTGCTCCAGCTATTTGGAGAGACTCAGTGACCACACAGATCACTTGGAAGCTGTTAACGCTGATTGGGTATGAGATGCTTTTTTAAATATCTGATGTGCGATCAGGAAATAATAAGAAATAAAAAAAATCTATGGGGTGAGTTTTCAAATAAATACAGGCTTGTGAGACAAATTAGGGAAGCTTTTGAGAGAGTGCCTCAATGAATAAGCTCCTGTGTACTTGTAATAATGTAACACACAAATCACAGTAAACTAAGCGTGATGCTTTGATTTGCAAAAATATGCAAGAATATCCTTTCAACTATCCGATCAGTTCTGCAGCGAGCCCTCACGCTACCAAAAGGTCAGACTCGAAAAGGGTTAAGTATTGACTGACAAGAGGATGAAAGGAAGAGCAACAGAATGTAGGTGTATAAAGGTCTTGGGGGACATTCCTAAAAGTCAGCATCGGTTTTTACATTTCTTGCACAGGAGCAGATATGAATTTCAAATAATGAATAGACTCGAATCGTCTGTACTTTTCAGAAGTGTGAAACTCATGTTTAACTGTGTCCATGCTGAACACTTTCCTTCTGTTTTCATCCTTACGCTTTCATTCATTTGAAAATTCATGCCAGAAATTCATCAGTTTTGCTCCTTCTCACCCATTTTCACCTGCGTAGAAAAGACCGTGCAATTTCTACAGCCATTAGCTGCATAATGCGGCTACAAAGGAACAAATACGGGTGAAAACTATTAGTTACCCAGGGGTGACAGTGTGTTAGAAACAAAGGAGTCTGAAAGCAAATAAAAATAACAGGCGCCACAAAAAAAATGTCTTGCAGCCTAGGCAAACGCAGGGGGTTGGGAAGCTGGGCAGGGCATGCGCCCCTCAGTCCTGCTGCAACAGAGCCGCGGTAGGGATGATGGCCCTGTGGCAGGGCCCTCTGTGGTGGTGGTGGCCAAACAGCAAGACTCGCTGGGTGAGTGGGTGAATCAAACAGGCCCCTGGCAATCTGTGCTCCACTCTCCTTATTTAGGGGCAGGATGTTTTAGGAAGGGAGAGTCTGCTGGCAACCTGATCCTCCCTCCGGTTGTGGGGATCTTCAAAGGAGATGGTGCTGGCAGCTGACGTCCCCCCCTGCTCCTGCTGCTTTTTTTTTCCCCATTCACTCTGCAGATGCCTCCCCCGACAGACCTGCTGACCAGCTCCTTCTTCCTCCTCGCAGATGGAGTGTGGCCCTGTGCGAGGCTTTCCTACTGTGTGCCATGTTGGCCCTCGCCACAGCCTCTAAATGGGAGCAGGAGCCTGGCGTTGAGGATGGTGATGGCAAACAGGCTGACACGGGGAGGATAAAAGAAATTACTTCTGAGAAGGAGCTTGCTGCAATCTATCCCTGGTGCTTCCCAATATACAATAGTGGCTTCATCCCTGCCCCATCACACTTCACATGCACAGGGTTAAATACATCTGCTTGCAAAGTTGGCAGTGACCTTTTCCCACTTGTATTTCTAGAGGGCAAAGTTGGCACTGGCCTATGCTCACTTATGTTTCTAGAGGCCTGGGTGCCAAGAATTATGCCCTTTGCCTAAAGAAGCTTTGCAAACCATCCCTGTACGCTTGAGGTACAAGGAGAGTTTGCCTTGTCCAACCCTGCAGAAAGGCAGAAGAGCTTGGAAACTGTGAGTCCACATTCCAGCCCCAAATCTCCAGCCATGCAACTCCCATACAATGAGATGTGGCACAGTGCTTTGCTGGGTAGCTGCAGGGACAGTGGGGTGAAACATGTACTGTGTGTGCATGCTGCTTTTCCAGCAGTCCAACTGCTTCCTGATAAACTGCACCAAGCAATGTTGCTGTAGACAGCAATATCTAGCCCTTGGAATGGTTTCAGTCAAGCCACACTTATCTGTCAGCACGTGTGAGGAGAAAGGTGGGTGGAAGAAAAAAGTCAGAGCCGGCACAGCAGCAAATATTGACACAAAACAATAGCAAAACATTATTGTAAAACCCACACAAATGAACGGGTGAGTCTGTGGATAAGCACAGCCCAGGCGAGTGCTTCAGAATCATGCATTAATGTTATGCTTCCAGGGCTAAAGAATGCACTTGGAGAAACACAGCCTGCGTAAGCACTGCATGCAGAAACTGTGACGAGGGAAATTCAGTAAGAAGTGTCACAGTCATGGAGCAGGGCAGATATTACTACGCATAATAAAGTGCAAACTGGCTTGGTCTTTGTTCTTTGTTTGTTTGTCTGTCTGGAATTTTTTTGTTTGTTTATTTAATTGCCTTTTCTTTTGTTCTGTTTGGTTGTTGCAGCTGTTTGTTGGTTTTTGATTAGTTATTTTTTATCTGGGAAGCTCCACTGGACATCTTTAACTCTCAGGAAACGCTTTCTTGATCAGGTGCTCGGAACCTGGCAGGATGAGACCCACATTTAACATTCACACTAAAACTTAACCTTGAGTCACAATAGCCCACATTTAAAAAAAAGTCTTTGCTTAGCCACATAGCAATAAAAAGTAGCCAGTTGCATCGCCTGCATGGCACACGCTCGTATACACTTAACTACCTGCTTTCCTCCTGAGATGGCTGAAATTTTCTCTTCCTTTTTTTTCTTTTCTGTCAGGAAGTTTTACAATGGAAAAGCAAATTTTTCCCCTATTACATTAATCAGGAGGTATAACGTGTCTAAAATAATTTGCATGTTTTTCGTAATAAAGCTGGACATAATTCCCTCCATGAAATGTCTTCCCGTGTAAAGTCCCTGTTCTCAATCTGCTTTTTTCTGGTATCAGGTTAGGGCAGAAGCAGACGGTGCTGCCCATCCTCCTGGCCTCAGTATCAAGGCTTTGGTCAGCTGTGGTTCCTCTCTGTTTCCCTTCAGAATACCAAGCAAGCCATAGTTATTGGTAGACGGAGACTGTATGGAGCATTCCACTGGCTGCCTAAGTACACCCAAACCTGCCCCTCAGTCCTACTGCAGCTCCCCAGCTTTGATTGATATTTTCCTGTCCCATATGATATGGTCCCAATAACCTGAGTATGGTGGGTGCTCAGGTACTCCAGAAACAGGATCCAATTGGATGAACGAATCGAGACACTGACCCAAACAGTTCTCTTCTAGGTCTGCTTCTGAGTAATGGCATTCACCTTTTATTCCTTTAGCCAGGTTGTGCCACTGGGTTTGGATCAAATTCCCCTACTGTAGCCACCTGTCAGCAAAATATGGTCACCCTTTGAGAAGGGGAATGGCACGACAGTGAAATTATGGCACACCACATCTTTTTTTTTTTGGGGGGGGGGGAGGCTGAGCTCACAAAACTATTCGTTCGTGGCATCAGCCTTACTTCAGGAGAAAGGTAATACTGGGCTGTGCAAATGCAGGCACAGGAGTTTGCGAAAGCACATTTTCCCTCCCCGTGCTTCATATGCAGAAATGCTATACTATTTACTCATTTGGATGATGACTAGGAGACACATTACCATAAGCATTACGGAGATGAATGCCTCAAATTTAGGAATTCATGTCCCAGTTGTTACTCTGAGAAAATAGCTGTGGACATGGATGGAAGCTTAGCTCAACTAACAGCGTAAAAATCAGATCTTGGGAGCAGATGTGAGTGTAAGCCGCAGAAACAAAACAAGAGCGTGATACAGAAGTAGCAACAAAAACAAAACAATTTTCAGTAGCGCTGCATAGCCATCTTTCTTTAATGGATTATATGTTTTCCTCTTCAGGCAACAGGGATTTGAGACATGCAAATTCTAGCATGGGGCTGAGTTGAGCAACTATGCACTTGCAGGTGAGTAATCCTGACCTCCCCAGGATGGCTCATGCAAGCTCGGCACAGTCAAGAAGGACACTGGCAGCACTAGGCTGAGTGCACCATCTGTACATTGCCTTGCTGGAGCTTGGAAGCTTCTCGTGGGGCTCCCATCACTGCAAAGCCACTCCGATACATAGCAAGTGTGTCCTGGGGAAGGAATTCGTTTGATTAGTTTTCTTAGGCTTTTGTTTGTTTGCTTGTTTTTTTTTTCACAGAAAGAACATTTCAAGGTTACTCCGTGAGAGTGATCAATCATTTAAAACACGCATTCTCTGATTATATTTGAGAAACATATTAATTAAAAAAATAAAAAAGGAGAAGAAAAGAAAAAGAAAAATGAGCAGTGTATATTCTGGCAATGAAAATCCAGAAAAATTAGTTGAGCCCTCAATTTTTTTTTTTTTCCTTTTCACCAGGTTTCTAACAACTAGGTCTGAAAAGAGGAAAAGGAGAAAAAGAAAAAGCACCTTGCTAGTTCTTTCACGTCACTGTGCACACGAGAACAGCTCACCGGGCTTCACCTGACTTCCTGTCTTCGTAGTCTGGAGAATGCTGTGAGATGCTACGGGTGTCTGCCCGTGAGGCAGCTCGGAACTGGCTCCACAAGCACTGTGTTTACCAGAGAAAACAGTAAAAATCTCTGCTCGGTTCACTGCACACTGCACAAGCCAAATGGCAAAGAGATGTATTTTTTTTTACTGTGCTCGGAAGTAAATGGCAGTGCCAACACATACAAATATGCGTCTGTTACTAATGAGGTGTTTACAGCCCCTGCCTTGCCAATTGCATGTGTGTAATACCTCAGCCCATCTTCACCTCCAGGGCTCTGGGCAGGAGACAATAAGTGCAAATTAACGTATGGACATGCATTATCTCCTCCAGCTTGGACAAGGACTGGAAACCTCTTTAAGTATTTTTAAATGCCACAGCTCGCTACCAGGGCTTTAAAATCCCTTCTCCCACCTCTTTGCTGATGGTTAAAATGTTCTGGGGACAGGACAAGATGTTTATAATGGCAGGACATTTCACTCTGCACTTTGTTTTAGCGTGTGGGGGGAATAATAATTGTATTCAGACTTGAAATGGCTTGGGTTACGCAGTTCAGAGCACAAGCACCTGCAGCAAATTAATTTGTTGTAGCACATTTATTATCTCATAGCTTCTCTTTAGGCTGCAGCTGTTGCTATTATGTTAATAATGTTTTTTATCACCACTGTATACAACAGGTTATGGTAATACAGAAATTTTGGGGCGAGAGGTGTTTCTTTCTTAATTTTATTTCTCAGGAAAAAAAAAAAGAAAAGAAAGATGGGGAGAATATAGCACGTAAGCATTGATCAGGCATTTAGCTCTGCGTTTATTAGCTGATTTGAAAGAGAATGGGCAACAGAAATTAGAAAAGAGTAACAATAGACAAAGATGGCGCGTGCAGAATTTGTGAAAGCAAAAAAGAAGAAGAAGAGGTGGAAAAAAAAAGAAAGAAAGAAAGAAAGAAAGACCGAACACCGCAGTGCTGGGGTGGTGAGTGTTCGGGTGGGGGCGGGGAAAATGCTGCAGTTTTCGTGAAATAATAAGGTGGAAAAAAAGGCATACAAAGAGTAGGTTTTTCATTGTCTGTAAAATATAAACACAGATGAATTCTGTCTTTGGTTTGTTCATGCTTTTCACTCTGCACAGCAGGGATGTTCTTAAGAAGTTGCCCTCTGCGAAATTTCACTAAATGGAAACCGTGGACCCTGCATGATGCGATTATAATCACACCAGCCATTCTTTTTACATAATTTTTTGTTTAAAATCCAGTAATGCTTCTTGTTTTTAAAACATATATCTATATCTCTACGTGCATCTAAACCGGCGCTGGTTTACGTCCCCTCAGCAAAGCGCAAGCTAGAGCTATAACTGGCTGTATCCCATCCACAAATCTCAATGGACTCAAAAACAATATGAAAATTTTTAGCTGACAAGAACATGTCTGCTGCCTGCAGTCACTGCAATAGCTCACCATGTTGCCTACTAACCAAAAGATCAAAAATTATCGATTTCATGGCGCTGCGTGCTTTGGATAGAAAAGCTACTTTAAAATTTGCATTATTTAAGAAACGAATTAAGAGAAAAGACCTGTGTTTTAGAGCACTTTGGAATGCAAGAAATGGCTTTATGTTTTAATCTTATCAATGATTTACTATAATTCTATTATTTTTACCAGCTGGGGTCTGGAAATGATTTTTTTTTGCCGATGAATTTAGGATTTTGCCGCAGTATACATCTGCAGTCCCAGAATCCTCTGGTAAGATAATCCCTCCTGCGATGGGGAAACGCCTTTAACCTTTTCGTGAATGAGAAATCTGCAACCATTTTGAAATAAAAAGGGGGAAAGAAGGATGATTTCTAAAAGCTGGAATGAAATTTACTGCGAATTGAAAGGACAATGAAAGGAAAACATACTGTAGTCGCGTTGTGTCGGTGGAGTTTCCAGCCGTTGTCTCCATCGCTCAAACCCTTTCTTCCATGGTGTCCGTACGGACGCCTGGAGAATGGCGTCACCCGTACTGCGTGCGGGCGGGAGATGGAGAACCATGATCGGAGACAGACGGAGCTTCCTTGCCAGGAGTGCAGAAATGCTACAACCTCCATTCTGCAGACTGGAAGGAGAATTTCGACTGCGAGTCATTGATTTTGACCAGTGGGTCCTTAGGACTACCAGGCTGCGTTAGGATAGCCAAGTGCCCAGGTAGCGAGAGGTGCTTACAGCTGCTTGGTGCTTACACACCGAGAGGGAAGAGGAAATGTTCTGAGGCATAAGGAAAATGCAAAGCCCTAGCCCGTGCACAGCCTGTTTGGAGGTTTGTTCAAATGAATCTCCAGCCCCGATATGCTTGTATTTTCAGACCACGCAGTAATTAACACAGATTGGTCTGAGCAGAAAAAAAAAAAAATCAGGCCTTAATAATTTATTATCTTATGTTTTATGGCTATGTATTAGAATGAATTACTCAGAATTGGGAAATGTGGCCTAAAGCTATCGAAAGAAAAACGCAACATTTAGCAAGTATCTTTTAGCAAACAGCTTTGTACAGCTCCATCCAGCTCTCTAGTTAGAGCATGGACAATTAAAGGGTTACGAGTCAGAGTCAGTGGCTTCTTGTGGACCAAGTTTGATTAGGAGAGAAGGCGGCAGGTGTCACACCTCTGCCGCTGCCATTGTTTCCCCTTTGCGGCCAGCTTTCCTGCAGGGCTGGCTGGGCACCACTGCCATTGTTTTAAATTAGGAATAGGAGACCCAGAATGATTACAACAGGCACGCGGAGAGATTTTAATTGAAAACTTAGGAGCTGAGAAATTCCGGTTAATGACAACATTTTTACAAGGACCAATATTGTAGATTTCTGTTTACCTTGATCACGCACTAAATCTTGAATATAAAGCCAGTCTGGTGTTTATTTGTTTGGTTAGTAGTAATTAAAATATATGTGTTGGTAGATGCAGTACTTCATGTTTATTCTGTTCCACAGTGTCTGCTGCTTAATATGCCAGTAATCAGATATTCTGATGAGTAATGCCTCAGCTGTTAAATCAGCTGGAGACTTTTTCAGTTTCTGAAGCGTACCTGATATATAAACTGTGGTAGATATTCATGTGCACTGAATTGAAGAGGGGAACACTAAGGTATGTTGCATTATATTTGGTATAAATCCAAAACAGGAACACTGAAGGAAAGAATTACCTGTTTTATTTTTTTTTTAATATCAAATTGGTGACCAACAATAATTCTATTTCCAAGCTTGAAACATTCACAGAATACTCCAGTTTATGTCAATACAACCAGCTGACCAGATGTTTTCATCAGCATCTTCTATACTAATTTAATATAACTAATATTAGTGTCCCTCATTCCTTCTGAATGACCTACAGCTACACACTGGCAGATTTCTTTTTTTTTTTTTTTCTGTCATTTTTGAGAAGAGGGAAATCTCACCAGTATTTTGAATTTGGCTATTCCTCTCCCTTTATCCATAAAGAATATTTTTTCTTTTTTTTTTTTTTTCATTAAAACTGAACTTGAGTGGCATGACTATTTGTTTAACAGAGCAAAAACACATGTATTAATAAACTGCAGTTCTCAAGTATGTGGCAGGAGCTACACTGATTAGTCTTGTATCTCAGAATGCTTAAATATTGCAGACATCTCTGCTCTTTTCCACTTCATGCTTGTATGAAAGAGAAAACACACTGTTTTTTTAATATACTACAACTTTACTTTCTGGAAGAAGGTTTCTTCTATTTTCCTTTTTTTTTTTTTTAAGAGAATGGATCAAAATGATGCAATTTATTTATTTATTTATTTATTTATTTTGCTGACAAGTGAACATATACATTTTATCAGTGTCTGAAAAAATATCTGTAGTTGATTCTACAGCACATTCATAGAATATGCGCAGTCAGAAGGCAATACTGCATTTGTTTTTAAGATCCAAACAGGAAATCAAAGATTCAGGCCCAGAGCCCTGGATGTTTCTCCATAATTGGTAATTTTGCTTTATCCTTACATTAGGCTATGGCCACTCATTTGTTACCACGTTTCTTACAAACACAGCCAAATGCCAGGATTTCAAAGGGAAAGGGAAAGGGAAACCAACTAAGTTTACCTTTAGCTGTTTGTTATTTTTAATGGGCTTCCTGCTTTCTACAGTGTTAGAAGTTGACGCTCCCAAAGCAGTGCTAAGGATGTTAAAAAAGAAAGGAAGAGAGGAAGAGAGGAAGGGAGGAAGGAAGGGAGGAAGGGAGGAAGAAAGGGAGGAAGGCAGGAAGGCAGGAAGGCAGGAAGGAAGGAAGGAAGGAAGGAAGGAAGGAAGAGTCTAGCACTATGTACTACAGTTGTTATAAATTTATAAACAAAAGAAAAGAAAAGAAAAGAAAAGAAAAGAAAAGAAAAGAAAAGAAAAGAAAAGAAAAGAAAAGAAAAGAAAAGAAAAGAAAAGAAAAGAAAAGAAAAGAAAAGAAAAGAAAAGAAAAGAAAAGAAAAGAAAAGAAAAAGGAAAAACTGCAACAAAAAGATTTAAATCATTATCTTTTAAAATTTAACCATGAAGATCTCCTTTGCACTGAGGATTTCTTACTGCAGGGATACACAATGGACACATTAGAAGACTGCTTGACCTTTTGAAAAAAAAAATATGTTGTCTAGCATATAGTCACCAAAACAAACCTATTAAAGTATAAAGGAGCTCTAAGGAAACTTCTGAAGCTGCGTATTTACCCTCAGTGCTTCTGGGAGCAGGGGGAGAAGAGCAAATGAGGAAGAATAACTGGGATGTTTGCAGATTTATTCATGGAAGCCCCACGCTCTGATATCCAATATAACATCTACTCTTCTATTTTTGGTACTGGACCATAAAACACTATTTTTGAAAAATCATAAAAACAACGTGTCTTTTAGAGAATTTTAAAATTGAACAAAGAACAGAATTACATGATAGAGTTAATTATAATGGCAACACTTCCAGCAATTAAGATATTCGTTTCCCTGGTGTAGGTTTGTGGGCCTTTTTTTAAGTGAAATTTTAGAAAATGGTTAGCTCCCTAACAGCTACAAATTTCAAAGCTGAAATGAACCAAATATCTATTAGCAGTGTGCCTAGATCTAAAAGCAGCCTAATCACTCTGCAGTGAAACAAATGCAGATTAAAATGACAATGAACCATGCAAGACTGAAACAGCAAAAATTCGACAAGAGTCTAGCACTACGTACTATAGGTGCTATGAATTTATATATATAAATATATACAAAGTTGTACGTTTAAAACCTGTTTGTAAAAGGGCTAGTTCCAGTAGTCCTCACCAGGTCAAAAAGAAAAGCGGTCCACGGTTCAGGGGCCAGAAGATGCGGACCATAGCCCTCCTGCTCCTGCAGAATCCAGGCTCCAAAAGCCCCATCCTCATGGACCTCAGGGGGTGGGATGGCACACAAAGAGGCTCTGAAAGGTATCTGGGACCATGCAATGAATGCATCAAGGATGTCTGACTGATTCTGCTGTTGTTATCAAGTGCCCAATGGAATCGCTTATAGGGAATTTGGCAATAATACCCTATAGAAGGAGCACTTTGTACTTATATAGTACCTTTGATCCAAGCATCTAAAAGGAGAGGTCTGTCATGACTGTTATGCCTGTTTTAT